GTTTAATAATGCTTAACCCAGTTTACCCTCAAAAACATTATTGCTGGCCTGCAATTCTTCACGATTCCCCCATCCCATTTTATACCTTTAAGATGAGTAGTTCAATCTTAGGGATATCTTAGAGTCTGTTCTGATGTGCTCCTGGATTTTTTTTAAAGATATCTAACATCCATAATTTATTGGATTGCCTGGAATGCTGCCAGTTGGAACCCACTGTGATGGGGTCTTGGTCAATCAAACAAAGAAGCTAACTCGGTCCTCAACCACATAAAAATACCCCAACCCAACTTCACAAGCACCCCTGAACCTGGTAGACTCTTAAACACTACCATCACGATTTTGAAAGGGACTGGTTTTTTACTTGCTCTGAAAAGTGGCAGCCAATGTGGAGGTTTAAGAGGAATTGGCCCCTGGCCCCATGCAATTGGTGACTAATGTACTGTCTGAGCATGAACTTTTGCATGAGCTGTTCTCACTTCCTCATTTTGCAAATTATCTTTATTAGCATTTTGCAAATATTGCTTATTTGGAAGGAAGTATGGTTTTATTTGCAAGTCCAATTACCCAAGCACAAAATTTTGAAGGAACCAAACTTCTGGAAACATATTGGCCAAACGGAGGAAACATTTCATGCAGGGTCCCATTAAAGCCACATTTTCCTTTAGTGAAGGTTCCTGAACTCTGGTTCTCCAGGTATTTTGGATCTCAGCTCCCACAATTCCAAACAGTTGGTAAGCTGGCTGGGATTTCTGGGAGCTGAAGTCCAAAACACCTGGAGAACAAAAAGTTGGGAACCATTGCTTTAATGTCTTCTATCACTGTTCTGGAAAGTGTCTGAAGGCAGAAACTACACAGGATGGACCAGTTGTATACCTTCCCTCCACTTAACATTTCTCTCTCTGTGGGCTAGGTATGATCCATAGGGAAGTCCATATGACTGACTCCAAACATGTTATAATGGTTTTAGAACTGGATTAGGTCACCAGAGAACAAGGTCTGAAATCCTGCTCTTCTGTGGAAACCTTAGTTCAGTGGTTCTCAACCTTTGGGTCCCCAGATATTTTGTCCTTCAACTCCCAGAAATCCTAATAGCTGGTAAACTGGCTGGGATTTTTGGGAGTTGTAGGCCAAAACACCTGAGGATCCATAGGTTGAGAACCACTGCCTTAGTTACTAAAGAGAAGACACACTCTCTCAGCCTCAGAGGAAGGCTAAAGTGAATGTTCTCTGAAAACTTCTGCCAAAAAAATTCTATGGTAAGTTCATCTTAGGGTCACCATATGTCAGAAATGACTTAAAGGCACACAATAACTAACTATTCCAACCTTCTTGTTAAAAACTGTAACAAAATAGAACAACAGTAATATTAATTGGCATTATCCACCTTTTCTTGCAATCAATGTTGCAACAAAATATAAGAAAGTTGTATGATTACTGCAGCATAAATATTATATGCAAACTACCGATCATGTTCCGTGTTCTGAGAAAAGAAAACAACATTGTTTGCATATGCAGCTAGGCAAACTAATGTGAATTAGAAAAGGTAGAATGAAGCAAATTTAAATAGATTCTGATTGCTTATTCATATATGCTTATTCTTCAAATCCATTTCACATTTAAGTTAAGTAAACTTAATCAAAATTTAAAATAAAAAGGCAACAGAATTTAAAGCAGAGTTCTAGCTGATGGCTTGATGATCTTGAGAAAATGGCCCTGATGCTCATTTGCTGATAGTGATCATTTTCACCAACTTTAATTAATCTGTGAGTAATATAAATAGCCCCTGTGTACTATATCTCTACTTTGTTCTTATTGCAGAGAGACATAGACTGCAGTAGTACCTCCCTAAGGACAACCTCATTAAGGACCTTTTCACAAGGGGCATTTTTGCCTATTTTGCCACTTTTAATCATGGCAAGGACAGAGCCTTCCGTGCGCCATCACACAATGCATGGTTTTATTTGCAAGTTCAATCGCCCAAGCACAAAGTTTTGAAGGAACCAGATTTCTGGAAACATATTGGCCAAAAGGAGGAAACATTTCATGCAGGGTCCCATTAAAACCACGTTTTCCTTTAGTGAAGGTTCCCAAACTTTGGTTCTCCACCCACATTCCTCCCAAAGTGGAGAAGCAACAAAAGGTGCTTTCTCCTCCACTACAGGGAGGAAAGTTTAGTTTGGGTAGTTCCAACAGAGGTACCCGCACTTTCTTCCCCTTTTTGCCGTGTGATGGCAGAAAGGGCGGTTGGGCAACACGTGGTGCTTCCCGTTGCTGCCCTTTCTGCCATCTGATGAGGGAAGGGAAAGGATGCCAAAGCACCCTCTCCCATCCCCTCCTTGTGATGAGGGGAGGAGGGAGGGCGTGCAGGGTGCCACAAGCTGCCCCGTGCACCTTCCTTTCGCAGGCGCAACAGAATGGTCTGAAAGGGCCGCGTGAAGAGGTGCTTAGTGTCATCTAAGAAGCAGTTCCCATCAAAAATTTCAAGATTCACTTCTGATTAAACAAGCACAGAATTGTACTTTTTAGAATTCACGATGTACATCTGTTTTGTGCTTCAGGCAGTTTTCTCAAAAACCGTTTTAGATCTCCTATGCATGCGAAATAAAAACCATCAGTTGTAAGGTTTTTATCAAAAGAAATCACTATGACAGATCTGTCCAAATTTCCAATGTAAAACTATTGCTATTTTGAAAGAACTGAATACCATTGTCAATTATCTATGTATTAAAGTTCTAGAATTCATTGAAAAGCAAGGGGAATAGAAGGGGGTTTGGAAAGAGTGAAGAAACAATCAGGTTAACCTCCAGTCCAAGGGATCAGTCTACATAATCCTGGGTATTCTATAGATTAAGCAGGAAACAGATGCACTGCAGGAAGATTCCCACAGAGCAACCAAAGTATCACACAAACCGGCAAATCTGATCAAATGCATCAAGAGAATTCAACCCCCCAACACATGTAAATAATCCAAGGTGCCATTCAATCAAGTTTTGGAGAAATCACTTCCTGGCCCCAAGATTTAAAAACCAGTGTGAATCAAATATATTGATTAAGCTTTCCATGGCTTGAGGGAGAGGTGGATTATTATGCAACCTCCTGCCTTGTCTCAGGCTTCAGCACTTTCTATTCCCGAAGGGAAAAGATGAGAAAAAGGCATGTTGCAGAGGCCCATTTGCTGACCACAACTGAGACACCTGAACAGAAATCACAAGATAGTATCCAGAAATATGTTCAACTCTGACTTATATTTTTGCCTTGAATTTCCCTGTATTTCCCTATATTTTTGCCTTGAATTTCTGAGAAACAATGCATTTTCTTTTGGTTTCCAGAATAAATGTTTGGTGATGAGCAATTTATAGCCATTACTCCTATAGTGGTATTTAACCTCAATAGTTCTTTCCCATTGGCAGACCTGGAGGTATTATTATGTATCCAGTTATACTATATTTTTCCTGTATTAATTATAATTTCACAGAAAATTAACAGGGGTGCAGATGCAGTATAATCACACTGACTGCCATTGAATAATATTTTATCACATAGATCTCTACTAAAGACACACATTAACAAATTCCGCTAGATTTCCCCACCTTCAGGTCATCATAGGATTAACAGTTGAAGCAGCTGAGGAGCTCTAGTAGTTCTGATTGGATATCTCACTCTTTGTTATGACAATATGTTTACATTATTTTGCAAATACGTGGCATGTGACATGCTTGAGAGAAAGGCACAAACTGTCTTACAAATTTTAGGTCTAACACTGAGAATGAACTATTAACAATGTAATTGGATTCCAGTATAATACATGAATAAATACATTACTTGAATGAATAATTATTTGAAAACAGTAAAAAAGAACTACAGGGAAAATACAGAATGGAAATAGCTCAGATATAAATGTTGCAGCTTGGAAAGTATATTTCATACTATATTGATTACCACAAGTTTTGTATATAGCCAACTTTCTATGTAAACCTTCAATTTGCATTCCTGAGTTTTTAATACTTCTAGCAACATATATTTTAGATGTAAAACACAAAATCCACAAAGTATAAAAGGTTATCAAGGAAAAATAATAATAATAATAATAATAATCCAATGCAATGAATAGGTTCAATATTAAATGCATTGTGCAGCTATGAGATGAAGTTAAGCTCTATTTGGCCCCATCAATTTCAGTGTGAGGAAGTTAAGCCTACGATTAACTATTCCCTTGAAGCCCATAGGATGAAATGTAGTTAGTTTTGGCAGGATTACACCCATTATTCAACACAAACAGATTCCAGGTAAACTTTCACTGAATCAACTCTTGAAATCACTCAAGTATGATTCTGGGCATCGTCCTAACAATACCTTTGTTCTGTGTTAATCTATCCAGAATCCTGCAAGACTGCACCCACTTCCTCCTATACTCTTTTTTATTATATCACAAAGACATCCAGCATACAATATGAAATGGATTAAAAATGAAATAGCTCATTCAAGCTTCTAGTAGTGCTGTAAACTGATTAGTGTTTCACTTAAACACAGAGAAGGCAGAATCCCACAATAGCGAGAATTTAAAAAGATGGGATTCTGATCCATTTTCTTTGATAACTTCTTCCCTTGATTCTTTTTAAATTGTCCTGTCTTCCTGTTAGCAATTATACAACACTCTTTTCTTTTCTTAACAGCATCAGCACAAAAAGCAGAATTCTGTAGACCAATATTTGTTGGAAGCAATAAAACAAAAGCAAACATGGAACGAGGCTAGATAAAACACACACATCCCTAAGGATTTGGCTTTAAAATAAGACTATCTCGCACAAGCACACTTTCCTTAGAAAAAAAAGGCACAGCATGAGAAACAAATAGAAATATTGACTCCATCTCTGTACCTCGCTTACCTTTTTGAGCCATATTGTCCCCTGCTGCAGAAGGGTCAGGCAAAGGGCAAAAACATTCTCCCCCACATTAAGTATTTGCTGTCTAAACATCAGTGCTGCTGGCCAGCTCCTTACCGTATAGAGTGCTTCTGGTTAGCTGTCCCCCCATCGTACTGCGCAAGGTGGCTTGGCTACCTTGCAGTTTCCTCTCTCACTGGGCAGAGATGCAGAGCTCGGAGCATGCAGGCATTGTCAGCACACAAGAGAAATGCACGCTCCTCCGACACAGGGAGGTTTAATGACTCTCCATAAATACACACTCATGAACAGAACGACAGAAGCCTGCGATCAGCCTCCACCCACTTTCTGACCCTCTCAGGCTCAGCAGTAAGCAGAGGCATATGTCATGGTTATTTACATAAGGAGGAGACTTGTGACTCTGAAATAGCTGGGGAAGCTCAAAGAATTTTACACATATAACATCCCAGCCCCGAAGCAGTTCAAGGGCAACCAAACACGCCCCATCCATCCGCCTCTATGCTGTTTTCCCCAACCTGGGTTTACACTTCAAATAAATTGCTTAGAGGAATTATAGTGGATTTCTTGGCTTCAAAGGGGTAGCTGCCTGCTTAGTCCCCCAATCCCAATGCATCCCTTGCTTTTGAGCAAAACAATGCCTTTGCTTCTGAAAATTTCACTGCAAATATATTTGTTTACAACTCAAAAATCTGACTGTCAATGAAACTTGCTTTCCACCACTGTAACAGTGTAATTAAAAGATGAAAGAAAAGAGAAAGAAAGACATCAATTCATTACATAAGTCCTGATAACAAGATGGGAAACTTAAACCCAAATAGTTGTATTACCAGACATCACTGGTCCGGATCCTCTTCTGGTTAATTATTAATTATTTAAGAGCGAGGGAGAAGTTTTCTGAAAGGCAGGATGGTTCAGCCTAGACTGCAATAGCAAAAACATTTTCCGCCAACCCCCCCCCCCCCCCCCCCCCCCCCCAAGCTTTTGTGCCAGGATTGCAGGCTCAGCTCAGACACAATGCAGCCTGCGCTTCAGTCCATTACTTCTGCTGATTAACTGCAGTGAGCGTTATTAAAGCAGTGAGTTGTAGAGACAGGTTGGGGTAGGGAAGCAGGGACCTCTATTCTGTTCCTCCGTGAGGGGTTATGAATTTTCTCCTCTACCAAAGCTGAGCAGACAATTTTTGGACCTATTCCCCCAGCTCAACCACCACAACTTTAAATCATACTAACTTGATGCTGAAGTTCCAAGTCACAAAACTCCATGTTGTCCAATTGTCGTCCCTCGCCAGCATTATAGGTATGTAACACAGAAGGAAGAGTTGAAAAACATGTTGAAGTACTAACATTTGCTGTCCTCAGGTATGAGGGTGTAAGGGTTGAGGGAGAAACACATATTAAATTGTCTGAAAAGAAATTAGGCCTCATCTAGGCTATAACTTTCATTAAGTTCCCTAGCATCTACAGCATGGTCTAACACACTTGCCAGTTTGAAAGAATGGCTGGCACCTCTGATGTCAGTTGGCCAGTTGCCAGGAAATGGGACAGTCAAAATCAATTAGCAGTGTTCATAATCTCTGCTGGCTGGTCTCCCTGTGGTCCACTGACACAGCTGATAGACAAAGAACTCCCCTGAGGAAATGTACAATGTGTATACATTGGCTAATTATTTAGGTGTAAACCAAGGAGCTTGGCATTATTACTCAGAAAATGACATAGGTGGCTTGGTGGAACCACAACCAGCACAGAAGGCTTAGAGGACATAAGGGCCAGGAAGATAGGAAAGAAGTATATTGTCTCTACACCAAGAACTAACACTGGAAACTCAAGACTCCACCCAGAAACAACTATGTCCTGCTTCTCTTAGGAACAAACATACATAATGTCTATTCAGAAATCTAAGTCCAATCAAGTGCAGTGGGCAAGTGTTAACAGGCAAGTGTGAACAGCACCACACTGTTCTAGGTGACACACTGTAGTGACATCAAGTATGAATATCTTCTCTGTGCTCTACAGACCAAGTTCCACACTACTTTTTCCCTTTATTATTTTGCACTTAAAACCCAATTCCCATCATCATATTATCTCCACCTTCTCTTTCTTCTTCTACTATTATTGTTATTGTTGTTATTATTATTTTGTTATTTTGCCTTTTTCTCAATCTTGGAGTTATGGAACCTCACAAAGTTGCAACAAGTACAGGTAGCAGCCACACCATTAAAGCACATAAATGTTAACAAAATTAAACTCTGAATAGAATTAAAACCAATTGAAAAATGAGCCCATAAAAACAAAGGCAGACTCGGCAGCACATAATTCAATGTCATTTCCCAATGAGCAGTTAGTTCTCAAATGCCTCTTGAAATAAAAGACTTTGCCAGCCCACAGAAGTAACTGGATTTAGGCCACAGTCCTATTTCAATATATAATACAAATGTGGATTCAAAAATTATTGTTGTCCTGTAAAACATCCAATTTTTTTAAATGATATTCAGTGCTGAGCTGTTCTTCTTAATGTTTAGAAAACCTATTTCGCTAGAGCTCAAGACCACTATTTCTTGTCCTATAGCAATCAGTTGCACCAGTAATAGATAATTTCTTAAATATGAGGCCCCCTCTACACTGCATATAAAATCCAGATTATCTGCTTTGAACTGGATTATATGGTAATGTAGACTCATATAATCCAGTTCAAAGCAGATAATCTGGGATGAGATCCTGAGATAGAGCAGTATAGATCCAGCCTTAGAGACATAATAGTCCAATTGAAGGTATATCTCTATATAAAGCACACAGATTATTATATAAAATGTTGTATGATTAAGACAAGGCAGGCTTTTTTTAAAAGTCACAATAACTCCTGATTGTTTTTAACTCTTGGAACAGCACTAGTCTTCCTGAATTCTTCAATGTACATTTACTAAAGTTCTGTCTTTGCTGCAGTCTGCATCTTTACAGCATTTTCTTGGCAGGCGTACCTCCTACTTACTTCTACTGCTGCATTACTAGCAATGCTGCAAGAGCAGCGCTGAAGCTGCATTGCTGAAGCTGCAGGATCAGTCCAAAGATACACAGAAAGGTTGCAAGAGCAGCTCTGTTCACATCAGACCTTCTTTGCATACTCAATTAAATTGTCAGTAAAATAAGTTTTTCAGCTCTGTTCATCAATAATATTTATTAACTTTAGTAAGATCTAAGAAAATGTATTCCTTTCCATGTATATTTTAAAAGTGAATGAGAGTAGGACTGCAGTAGTTTATGGCAAGATGTAGCGATGGACAAAACATAAGCATTCCCATGTTTTGTAAAGATTCTGGTCTCCCAAATAAGCATTCTGTACTCTCCAATGGAATTTCCCTTCATCTCCCAAATTTCTAGCATTGCAGTAACTTGATTTCATTTCAACCTGTACAAATACATTTTAAGTTTCCAAAGAAAAGGGGGAGGCAAGAGTATCAAGGGAATACAAATACAGCAAATATGATTCTTGGGTGCAAACAACTTTTGGTTTCCCATTCTCTGTAGTACTTGACATCATATATATTTTTATCTGCATAAATATCACACACTAGGTCAGGAACACCTTTCCACCCAGCATCAGAGTTCAGTAGTTGCTAACTACAGAAGTTTATTTACAAAAGACAAATACAAAAGGGAAAAGGGGCATTGTCCAAAAGGCAGTAGAAAAGGTGCTATAAAATAACAATAGTCCAAAATATAGAGATCAATAGTCCAAACTGATAATGTCCATTTATTTATTTCATATTGAAAGCATTGCATAAATTACTATGAAACTGATAAAAATAGAAGGAGTGCAGGTGGCTAAATATCCTTTGACCAAAAATGGGCAACAGCAATGGCATTGTCTGTGGCCTCCAACAATTCTTCCTCTGTGCGTGAGGCAGGGCATAGTGGACAAGCATACAGATGTGGAGTTGTCTGTTCTGCTCCACAGTCCCATAAGGTGTGGGATTCTTTTAGGCAGTGCCATTTTTCCAGGTTGTCTTTTGATCTTTTGGTTTCATGATAATGTCCATCAGGATAACAAAATATAGGTACATGAAGTCCAAATAATAAGGTACATGAAAATCCAAGAAGTCAAAACATCATCATAATTCCATAACATAAAAACAAGAACTTAAGCGAGGCAAAATTCCATACAGAAACACAGGCAAACTTGAGAGCTAGTCAGTTGTCTGCTCTGAAGAGCCCCAAGAACCAGCATCTAATTTAAGCTCAAACTTGACCAAACAGACATGAGATCATCTTTTCTGCACTTGTGTTTCAAGGACTGTTTCTCACGAAGTCTTTCAGTCTTTCTGACCTCCTAATTAACTCTCTTTAGCTCGCTCCAAGCAGAGCCCTAATTTCATCTCACAGGGCAACTCCCCAACTTCTGAAGGCTCAGAATTCCAGTCAGGCTGATTCTCAAAAGAAGCATCCTTATATCTCTTCTGCAACTGTTGGCCCTGGCCTGTCTCTGTGATCTATGGCCTGCATTTCTGTCTGTGTTTCAACCTGAGGAACAGGCACAGACTCAGTGAAAATCTCATCCCCAGAACAGAATCCCCAGCATCCTGCTGAACCCCAACTATAGATCTGCTTTGCTTAAGGTGATTTTTTTTCTCTTGTGACATTTCTCTAAGCTCAGTGCTAATGAAGAGCATGAAAGTTCATTCTCTTATCTGCTAACTCTTCAAACTGGCATCAGGATTTTCCAAGCTCTTTGAGAATTATAATTACTAATCAGTGAATATGACATAATGTTTTATTTGGATATTTTTTGTAATGTTTAGGGTAATAAGCAATCTAATTTTGCCTCTTCTTCATTTATTGATAGTATTCCTTGACTTTAACATCGTACCTTAGAAGGTCAGGCATCCATATCCACAGATTCAATATTTTAAAAATAATCTTGATTTGCCATTTTATATTAAAAATATTATTTTACTATGCCATTATATATAATGGCACTTGAGCATCCACAGATTTTGGTATCCATTGAGTGTTCTGGAACCAAACGCCAGTGGATACCAAGGGCCCACTGGATAACTATTTCTATAAACACCCCTCACCCTCTGCTGTTAGGCTGGTTGGTATTGTCTCATTGTTTGCAGATAATTCCCATTTGCCATTTGCTGGAGGCCTCTATCACTGGGAGTTTCCTTGCAAAATCGCAAGAAGCCAGTGGGCAATATTTGTGACAGCTGTGAAAGTCACCATAAAAAAAACATGTTAAGAGCATACCCTTTCAAGCTTATCAGGATACTTAGGGTACTATTGACATATACATTGTTGATGCCTTTTCCCTTCCTATTTGCTTTTAAGAAAATCCAAGAAAAATGATAAAAACATTTAA